TATATATATATATATACAGTATATATATATATATATATATATATATATATATATATATATATATATATATATATACACGTATATATACATTTATATATACACATTTGTTTATAATTAGTTATAATATTAACTAACTAGTTACATTGTTCAAATGAGTTTTGTTTTAAATGAGACTTGGGGTTGGGCTCATTTGACTTGGACCAGTATGCAACTACCCAGAACACCCTAGTAACCACCAGAATGCCCTAGAAACCTGTGAAATGTGTCCTGTGAAACCTTTGTGTTCTCATTTACCCTGCAGAGTGGGAGTCCTTGCCTGTGTCTCAGGTTCCCTTCCCATCATCTGAATGTTTCCCACAGACCACCGACTGGTCCGAATGTTCTGCTTCCTGCGGGTTTGGCATCTCGAGTCGTGTGACTAATAATAATGCACAGTGCAAGCTTGTTAGAGAGACTCGCCTTTGCCAGATCAGAGAATGTGACATCACTCCAGCTATGAAGGTGAGATACTGTAGTGAAATGAGTGGGTTACACTTCATTTCAATAGTCAACTTTAGACATTCTACTAACTATAAGTAACTTTGCAACTCTATGTTAACTAACACTCATTAATTTGCAACTACATGTCTACTAACTCTCATTAGAGTGTAGAGTGTTAGTAAAGTTACTTATAGTCAGTAGAATGTGTGTTGGGGACCATAAAAATATAGTGTTACTTATCTTACATTAAGCAGACAGTCTACTAGTACTCTAATGACTGCTAGTTGACATGTAGTTGCAAAGTTACTTATAGCTAGTAGAATGTCTAAAGTGGACTATCAAAATAAAGTGTTAGCACTGAGTATACATACAATCATATGTACATAAACCCATATACTGTGAGTTCATTCATATGCCAATGTACAAAAATAAAAAAGCTGACAAGACAGACTTTTATATTCAGAAAAGCATTTATATGCATTTTAAATTTGTTGTATATTTTTCAAGGAAAATTTACCAAAAATATGGTCAATTTTCACTCACTGTTCATGAGTGTAACACAATTCAAAGTAATGCGAGTTATGTAATCAGATAAAGACTAGTAAAGTAACACATTACTTTTAAATTTACAATGAAATATCTGAGTTACTTTTTCAAATAAGTAGCGCAAGTTACTTTGTTTTCCCATTTATGTTTACTGACAGCTCTCCTTACCCCGTGTTGAGAGAAATTGGGAATGAGGTGCAGAGGCACTTCCTTCAGACGGAGGCTTATTAATTTCACTTATGGTGTGAAAGGGCCTTTACAGTTGCCAAAAATATAACATGCTTTTTTTCATTTTGTTATTAAAAACAAATAATCAAGTCCAGCCCAGGTGACAAAAAGTAACTCAAAAGTAACGTAATACATTACTTTCCATAAAAAGTAACTAAGTAACACAATTAGTTACTTTTTTATGGAGTAACGCAATATTGTAACGCAGTACTTTCCCCAACACTGACTGCTTTTATGCAACAATTCAATAAACAAAAAGTTAATATTGAGTAGCTTGTGTTTCAGATAAAATTTGACATGTATTTCTCTATTGTTCCAGAAGAAGCCAAAGGCTCAAGCTTATCACTCATATGAATGATTTCTTGTTTTATGTCATGTAGAAAGGAAAGAAGTGCAGGCAAGTGGTGAGGTCTCGGGAACCAGAGCAGATCACGTTCGCTGGCTGCTCTACGGCTCGCCGCTACCGGCCTCGTACGTGTGGCTCGTGTGTGGACGGCAGGTGCTGTCAGCCGTCCTCATCCCGCACGGTGCGTCTGCGCTTCCGCTGCCCAGATGGAGAGAACATCACACGTAACATCATGTGGATCCAGCGCTGCCACTGCAGCCAGAGCTTCTGCAGGGTTCAGAGAGAGCGATCCTCACCCATCATCAGCCTTCACAACGACATACACACCTTCTCTCACTGAACACACACAACACGCCATCACGCCATCACTCCATAATGGCTAAAACTCACTTTTCACACTTAAAGGACGTTCCTGTTTCAGGCAAGTCTCCTGAACTATAGAATGGTAAACTGTTCTAGACTTGTATATAATTTTTGCACTTTAAGTGTTTCTCCTTCGCTTTGACCTGCAGGCTCTGAATCTCCTGAAAGCATGTCCAGGTCACATTTCTTGAGGATTTGTGAGAAGGCATTGTTTACTGTTGTTAGCTCATGTTTCCACATCTTTCTACTTTTATTTATTCTGTTATTTTTAGATTTGAAGTATTTTATAGTGTCTTTAAGTATAAGTGATTTATTTGGTGTCAGATGAATGACTTCCTGTCACTCGATGGGTAAATGCACTAATGAGGGCGATGAGATTATGTTACAGATGTTATGTAGGCCTATATCATTGAGTTACCTGATCAAGGATGACTAGTCTAGAGACTTGCTTTGTCTTTTGTACAGTGTACAGGCTTCACTATAGGTGGAGTGACTTTTTGAGACTGCTTCATTTTTCGGGGCATGCTTTAAATTCTAGACGCTCTCTTGTATAGGAGTGAATGTCTATTTGTATAGTTAAGATGTTGAATATAAATGACTTTGCCGATCAGTTTGTGTCACAAAAAAATAAAACATTTCCAGGAAAAATATTTGTTAGTGTTGTTTGTAACTGACTGATTCTTACTTTGACAGAATGTTCTCATCTTCAAACATCTAAGGGGGCCACAGGATGACTTATATTAAGTTATACTAAATTAACTTAATTAAAATGTAAAAACACAACATAAAATTACATAACTTGTTAAAATTCACCCCTGAACAATTGTTGCCTTAAGGAACATGCAAAAACTAGATTATAAAATTTTGATGACATTCTTTGATGTTGACCTTTAGGTTTTATTGCCAGACAGACAGACAGAAAGAAAGTCAAATGAAGACAGGAAAACAAGTCAAATATCATATTATACCACTTCAGACACCATTAAACCCCCAAGAAACCATATCAAACCAGTTCAGTCCCCAATAAACCTCTTTAGACCCAATTATACTTCATAAAATCACTAAGAATTGCAAACTGCTAGCAAGTATGTATTTCTTAATAAGTTATACAAATTTCTTATTTCTTAAGTGTTGCTAGGCAATGTTAACATGTTCTTTGGTGTTATTAGAATGATTTAACGTGTTTGCTAGACGTAACTGACAAGTTTCAAAAGCTAGCATGTTTTAGCACATTGCTAGCATTTTTCTAGCATGTTTTATCATGCTCATAATATATTGCATAACATAGTATGTTTTGGCAAGTTGCTAAAATGTTCCTAAAAGTGTGGTCCTATTAGAGAAATGACAATGAAATTGTGGCAAAAAAGGTCTGTCTACTTTCTAGTGTAGTGATGGTTAATGCACAGCTAACACAAGTCAGAAGACACTTTCAAATCAAGCAGTTTCTGTTGGTCGTCATGACAAATCCACATGAACAACTTGAACCTGTTCCAAAATCTGTGAAATCTCTCGCCCTCATGTGTAATTTGTGGTTGTGTGGATTCCTATTGAAATGATTTTGCCAGTGAAAATTAGCTGAAAACAGTAAGTCACATTAGTAAAATACCATGGTTAAATTATGGTTAATAGTGTAGCAAAATCATGGTTAATTTGTGGTTTTACCATGGCTATAGTAACCATGTTTTTTTAGTTTTATTTTTAGTAAAACCGTGGTTAATTTTCATAAGGAATTTTCGATTGTTGCTAGCATAGTTAACTTAGCATACTTCTAGCATGTTGTTAGCACACTGCTAGCATGTTCTTCACATACCTTAGCATGTTGCTAGCATGTTTAGCCAGGTTTTAAACACACTGTTAATTTTAGTATGCTTTTAGCATGTTTACTACATTGCTAGCATGTTCTAGCATGTTCTTAGCACACTGTTAACATGCCCTGGTGAATAGAAAACAGCATATGATGGTTAGGTATGTTTTGAAGCATGACTGCTGGTTTGAGCTGGTTTAAGCTGGTTAAAGCTGGTCATATGCTGGTCCTAAGCAGCTTGGGACCAGCTTAGGACCAGCACATGACCATCTTAAACCAGCACATGACCATTTTAAACCAGCACATGACCATCTTAAACCAGTACATGACTAGCTTAGGACCAGCACATGACCATCTTAAACCAGTACATGACCAGCTTAGGACCAGCACATGACCATCTTAAACCAGTACAGGACTAGCTTAGGACCAGCACATGACCATCTTAAACCAGCACATGACCATCTTAAACTAGTACACGACCAGCTTAGGACCAGCACATGACCATCTTAAACCAGCACATGACCATCTTAAACTAGTACATGACCAGCTTAGGACCAGCACATGACCAGCACATGACCATCTTAAACCAGTACATGCCCATCTTAAACCAGCACATGACCAGCTTAGGACCAGCACATGACCATCTTAAACCAGTACATGACCAGCTTAAACCAGTACATGACCAGCTTAGGACCAGCACATGACCAGCACATGACCATCTTAAACCAGTACATGACCAGCTTAAACCAGCACATGACCATCTTAAACCAGTACATGACCAGCTTAAACCAGTACATGACCAGCTTAGGACCAGCACATGACCATCTTAAACCAGTACATGGCCAGCTTAAACCAGTACATGCCCAGCTTAGGACCAGCACATGACCATCTTAAACCAGTACATGCCCATCTTAAACCAGCACATGACCAGCTTAGGACCACCTTAAACCAGTAGCCATGCTTCAAAACATACCTAACCAGCATATGCTGTTTTTTTCACCAGGGTGTACAGTGCAGGGCAAGTTTTTCAGTGAATATTGCTTAAATTTCTCTTCATCTGAAGATTTTGATGCTTTTTGTTGACAATGTGACTCTTGAGTAAATAATGACAGGACTTTCAGTTTTGTTGGATTATCCTCTTAAACTTCTACTGAGAGAAAGAGACAGTACAAACTTCACAGCCGGCTCTCAAATTCCACATTCTCATCTGCCAGTCTGTTCTTCCTCCATATATCCATATGCACATAGCCCTCGATCAGCTCTTTATGCAGTTTAGAGGATCACTAAAACCCAAACCACAATCACAGTAAGTCTGAAATGCTTTCTTACTTTTAAGTTAGTAGCCTACTTACTGTAATGAGGCACATCAGAATGTAAAATTCTCAATTTTCTTACAATTTTTAAGTTGCCTTCCAGGATATGGACAATGATTTTTATTAGGCATGTTACACATTTTTGTAAGTTACCATTTTTGATTGATTGTTTTTATGAAATACAGTTAAAGGTCCATAGAACTGCTTAACATTGCAAGGGACATGACAAGCAAAAGTCATCACTGACGTAAAACGTGCCTGTTTCTGAGATGTTTGTTCTATAAGGGCCTCACATGTCCCCAAAAGACTGTTCAACTTGTTTGCCAAGTCGGAGTAATTGATCTAGTTCAGTTGTGTGCGGGCTGCTCTTAGAAGCCTTTGTAAACTTTAAGACATGTCCCTTGACAACAAAAATCTTCCAACAAAGAGAAAAGACTCCATAGTTGTACAATAGTACAAAATAGCAGTGGATGGAGCTTTGGCTTTAAACGTGTCATGTGACACAGTAAAGTATTCATACATCAGCAGACACTTTCCATGAATAGGTAACAAAATAGCACTTGAATCTTTTAAAAATTCAGAGAAAGGAGATGCTTAACCTTCAGAAAGTGTTGTTTGTTCACTCCAGGTGGTCAAACGAAATTGTTTTTGAGCTGTTTTCTTTTCTTTTCATGTCAGTATTATTATTCGTTTATGTTTATATTTTATATTTACAACCTGGTGTCACAGTTTTACAGAACGATCCATTTAAAAAGTTAAAATGTTTATGGCAAATATGGGACACACAGAACTTGGGACCAGCACTGTTATTAATAACTAAAACTATTTATAAAATTGTTTTTTGTTAATTGAAATAAAGCTGAAATAAAATGTTATATATATATATATATATATATATATATATAAAATAGTTTTAGTTATTAATAACTGATATAAAATAACTGAAATAAGTTTATGTTGAAGTACTACAAATACTAAAAACTAAAGCTGAAAAAATAAAGCTAAATGGAAATAGAAAACAAACTCATAAAAATAACAAAAGCACATACAATTACTAAAACATATATTAGAATGAAAACTTAAAATAAAACCTCAATATTCAAAAATTATTATTCAAAATCTTAATAAATGTTGTAATAGTATATAAATAATAATTTAAAAAAACACTGCTTGGGACATAAATATTATGTTTTTGGTCATTGAAATAACACAGGAGAATCTGTGGTGCATGACTAGTAATGTCTGTTCAGTCCAGTGGGTGCAGGAAGCTCCAGGTGCAGCACAGAGAGTGAAAGAGGAAGGCCCAGGATGATCCAGGTCTGCCACAGGCTAACAGCCAGATGTGAGTTTCAACACGGATCTGAAAGAGCAACTGGAAATATGTCAGAAACCAGAACAAAAGGCCACAGGGTTAAAGGCTTACACACACATTTAACTTTTACAACAATAAACAAAACATGCATCTTCAGGTTAGTTAGCTAGAATGAGCATATTGATACTCAAAACAGGAAAAAAAACATAATATCATATCAAATTTGGATAAATTAAGGCTTGGTCTAGCAGTAGAGTAGGAAGAAAAAAAATATTGGGAAAATGTAAAATGCTCAAATAATGTTTTTGAATGTAAGCTGGCAGATGATGGCTGCATACAGTCCTCGGTTCGTCTGCTTTACTCTTCAACACTGATCTCTAGTGGAACCCACAAGACCTTCAGGTGATTTTACAGAGGAGAATGCAGCGAGTCTTTATCATACGAGACATGTGAGATTATGAATGCAGATCACGTGTCTGTTTCTGTTTATGATGTCCGTTTTTTGAGTCGTTCTTTTGAGTGAGCTGATGATGATTGATCAGGTCATAAACCAGTATAGCAGAAATATTGCAAATAAAACATCCTGGAAATGTATTATTATATATAGGCTAATATATTATAATTATATTTGGGTTTAAATTACCATGTTTTTATAAGCTGAATTATGACTGCAATTAGGACACATGAAATGACATTAAACACACTCATTAATAAATACCCTTTAGCCTAATAAAGATTAATATCAGCAAACACCCAAAGTGGCCCGTGGATTATTTAAATTATTATTGTAATACCTAAATAGATTATATTTAAACAATATTACTATTAATATATGATAAAACACAATTATAAAATAAAATCGTAATTTTAAAAACATGTAAACTTAAAATAAAATATTTTCCCTTAATACATTTTTATTGAAGAACATACAGTTTTTGAAACTATTGTTATATATATATATATAGAGAGAGAGAGAGAGAGAGAGAGATTTCTGTAGGCCTATTTATATTATATTATATTATATTATATTATATTACATTATTTTCACTGATGTGCAACCTGTTCATATATGTTAACACCTCAAAAAATGTGTTTTAGAGTTTCATGACACTTTAATATTATATAAAAGATACATTTATTTAGCTTCATTCAGTATAAAATCAGAACATATTTTGGAGTAATGTCACTATATTCTATTCTATTCTATTCTATTTAGGGCTGTCAGTTTAATGTGTTAACTTAATAAATTAGTTATGAAAAAATAATGTGATTAAAATATTTTAACGCAGTTAACGCACTGGCCCCGACCCCAGACCTGTACGTCATCTTACATTTCATATAGTTGACTGTTGACAAATATGATGCAGGACAACAACTTCATAAATGCAGTTATGCCTTAAAATTCAATATATTGGGGCAAAAAGGCCAAAAATGTTTTTGTCTCATATTTATGACATGATAAGGGATATCACACGAGCAGCGAGACCAATATCACACGAGTGCATGGTTTTGTCTGGTAAATTTTTTTTGCATGAAAAAATTATGAGATGTTTCTCAAATGATCTTCTTTTATGTTCCATAGTTTATGTTGAGTCGTTGTAGTCCAAACGTTTTTGTGTAAAACTTTATGTTGAATCAAATAAAATATTTCTTTCTAAAGCTACTATTTGTAATGTCTACTTAATACTTTCTCATTTAACACAAAAATAACATTAAATAATCTTTTGGGGGTATTGTCACAGTCAAATGTAATTTGCGATTAATAAGATTAATTATTCGACACGTCATGTAATTAATTTAGATTAAAAATTGTAATTTTTCTGTAGGCCTATTTATATTATATTATATTATATTATATTATATTATATTATATTATATGAGGGCCTTCGGATATAGTGTTGGACAGAGGAGGTCAAAAAGTTTGAAAACCTCTGTATAAAAGTCAAGCACCACGTGATGATGTGACGCATCTTGACCAGGGCTGCGTTCAGCTCCGACAAAACGGTGCAAAACGTGTTTTAAACGGAAACGGTGGTGCGCTGAACGCCCTGTTCTGATGAAGCAAGAGTTGCAGCTATGGCGGCTGAGAAGGCCATTCTTTGTGTTCTGTTTGAAGAATATTCGGAGCCTGATGAAATCTGTATAAATACGCGTTTAATACTGCAAAATACTCTCGATGGTACAGCCACTGCCCTTGCCCTCCAGAATAAAAGAGAACATCCCAATCGACTGAAAGGGTTTGTGGAAATGTGGTTCCTAATCAACATTTGCCTCGCATTTCAGGATGAAAAGACAAACATTTCAGGTGAAGGATAATCCACTTCTTACCTCCGAGACTGTGTTATGTTTTTTTGTTTGTTTTTTAGGTGTGGGGGGGGGGGGGGGGGGGGGGGGTATTTTCCTGGCTTTTTGTATATTGTTTACATTATATCTCTTGTTGTTTAAATCTGTTTTGAGCTGTAAATGTGTGTATTTACCTTTATATATGTTCAAAAACGGAAGAAAAAATAAAAAAGGATTTTCTTGAACTTGAGTCTGTTCTCAGGGAGAGATTATGCTGTAAATACGCGCACAGCTTTAGTGTAACGTTTACTTAATTATGGTTAATTTTCATAAGGGTTGCTTTATAAATTCCTATGTATGTTATCTGATTTATTTGAGAATAAAGATTAATTCTCCGTTTTAAATTATAGTTGAGTTTATATTTTTATAAAGAAATTTAATATGCACTATGTTTAATATGCGTGACGGACAAATATGCATTAGGCTAATACTGATTATTATGTTAGAAGCCACGCCCAGAAATGATCAAACCTATCAAGGTGAAGTGTACAGCTCTGGTACGCCACGCAGTGATAAAAAGCCTCCGTCGGTGAGAGGGTCGCTCGATGCTCGTCTGACTGCTGGATGTAACATCTGATGGAGAAAACAAGCCCACACTCTCGAGGTCTTCTTTTGGAGAGCTGCACAATGCAACGGAGCCAGTAACTCACATGCCACTCACTGTCCAGAACAGCGACGCTGATTAAACCCTGTTGCCCTGTTACTGTAAAATGTGGGCGTGAAGAGGAGGACAGTCATAAGAGCGCGAGGTCTCGGGGTGGATAACTTCAACTTTATACAGGGTATCAACTCACTGCAGTATAGAAGCTCTTCAAGGTGAGTCGCAGTGCGTGCGTTCACATTTGCACTACAAATTCAAATTGGCAAAGTTTCAATGTATGAGCTGAGAATTGAAAGTTTAAAATGCTATGTGGATTCATCAAGACATGTTCTGTATTGTAATCCTGCTGCTGTGTTGGGTGTCCAAATATTCTTTACTTACATGTTATAGTTATTCTAGATAGATAAACAAACAAAAGAAAATATCTGTTTACAAAAGTGAATTTTATATTTTATATAACTGTCTACTTTAATGTTTCAAATAACAGCGTAACAGATATGGTTATGCAAAAATGAAAACAAATTTTTTTTTAAATTAAAATATATGAAATAAAAAGTGATTAAACTAAACCTAGTGGTTTAAAGAGTAAAGATGAATTTGTTTTTGGAGGCTGCACTGTGATCCTTAAATAGAGTATTTTTAATGATTCTTCCTCTAAACATCCCTGACTGCATTTTTTGGTATATGAACTATTGTTACACTGAATGACATTTTAGTGGTGGTGGTGTGTGTGTGTGTGTGTGTGTGTGTGTGTGTGTGTGTGTGTATATATGTGTGTGTATAGTTAAGTTTTCTATTCATTGCTGATGGAAAATATTTACCTTTTTTATCACAAGACCTCTTGTTGGGTTTTTAAATGTGCAGGATGTTAAATAAGACATTTTTGATATCCAAGCTTTACTTAAATATAGAAAAACATGATGAATCACAAGCTTTATTAGTGTTCAGTCTTTACTTCGGCACCATTACTTTATATAGCTTATATAAATTTGTCATATATCTCAATATTTACCAATATCTTTGCATCACTGTGTAGTATAGGATGCACTTGATGACTTGTTTGTTTGGCTGCACAGCCAACAAATATTTATTTATCTGAGGTACTGAAAAGTTGAAGAACTTGTTTAAAAAAAAACATATTGATTAACCACTGTTTTTATTTTGGAGAGCCATGTCCCCTTCACTGTCCCTTCACCCTGACCTCTGCGTTATAGATTTCATCGTTAAAATCACCTTTTTTTGCACACCATACAGTTTGTTGTTAATAATCATACATGGTGAGAAGTTCATGCAGCTGGTCTTCTCATTTGCCTCCTTCCAGCCGTAGCTATGGTGAACAGTCAGGTTACAGGCGGCGCGTGCGCGTCCAGGTCGTGCGCGGGCTGTGGGGGTCACATCGCTGACCGTTTCCTGCTCTTCTCCATGGAACGCTACTGGCACACGCGCTGCCTCAAGTGCTCGTGCTGTCAGGCTCAGCTGGGAGAGATCGGGACCACCTGCTACAGCAAAGGAGGCATGATCCTCTGCAGAACAGACTACATCAGGTCAGACGCAAGCTCAAACATCAAAGAACCCGAGACATTTAGATTTGTTGTGAAAAGTGTTACAGTAGATCTATTCAATCAACTGATAATAGATGACCAAATTAATTTAGCATGATAAGTAGCTTGTTTTAAAACAGTATTTCTGTATGCCCCCTCTTAGCTCAGAGGTCATGTCCTGCTCAACTACATCCAGCAATTAATCATATTGACATAATCTGCTGAAGTGATATTCCACTTATTGTAGTAAAACTCTTGAACTAAATGTAATCACTAAATTGGAAAAACATTAAAAAAAAATGTTTTACTGTCATTTTCCCCCATTACAAATAATAATAATAATTATTTTAATAATTGTGACATCCAGGGAGAAACATCATTTGAAATTTTTTTTAAAGCATATTTAATTTTCTTTGTTTTTACACAGATTGCATGGTTGAGCATTACCCTTCTACCCTGTTACCCAATTTCTATTGTGAACAAACACATTTTTCTTTTTAATGTGATTTATAGGTTTATCAGTTACTACAAACCAGCATTTGGTCCCAGACTAGCTGGTATATCTTGACACAGGCTACATTTTCAACCCTGTCACTTGTAACCCTGTTTACATTTTACTTATTTTTTTAATTGGATATGTTTGACTGTATTGTCTGCTAAAATGTGATGCTTTTTAAAGTTTATTGCTAAAAACACACACAATCACAAAAAAAGCAAGATTTTAAACTGGTTAGACTGTATCTAATTTTAGTAACAGGGTTGAAAATATAGAAAACCACATAAAAATAATCAGACCATAAAAAACATTTTTGTATATTTTGTTTGACCTTTTAATTTTTACTCCACTAATATTACTTCAAAGCACCTACTTTCACCAATCAAGTGCTTTGTGGACTCGCCTTATATATTTTAAGAAATCGTTTAATTGCTCAGTGAACCATAAGTAGGTCAGGTAGTCTGCAAAATTTAAGAGCAAATTACAAACTAATCTTATGCCCTTAAAATACCATGCATGGGTTTTAATTTTAACAGCTAATAATGAGTGTGGAAAAAGGCTTTTAACTCATAGACCCATATTTTTTCACCTCCACATTTAGTAGTGCCCACATCCGAAATTTTAATCGTTATAACAAAGACGCAAGTCGATAATGAGACTGTTTGAGGCAAGAGTCTCCACAGTCATTTGCAATTCAAATAGCCTAGCCAAAGTTGTCTGAAGCTGTAGTTGTCATGCTATGCTGACAAGCATTTTGTTCTCGTGTCGATTTGCATTGGACTCATTTGCATCCACCGGGTGCTGATGATCTCTGCAGATGCATTCTCACATGCTCCCACAGAGAACATCAGAGACGCTGCATGCTGTCTTAGATGCATCACACGGCATCAGTTAATGTTAAGCCTGTTGTGTCAACTCTGTGGGAGATAGCACTGCTGAAGTCATAGCTGCGCTCCAGCAATAAAGCAAAACCAGGTTCTACAATGTGTTTCTTCTACTTTCTTCATTTGCGTTTTCCAGGTTGTTTGGGCACACGGGGGCTTGCAGTGCATGTGGTCAGTCCATTCCCGCCAGTGAAATGGTCATGCGGGCACAGGGCAATGTCTACCACCTCAAGGTTGGTTATGTGAAGCGTGACTATGACAGCTTTGTCAAGGGATAGTTCACCCAAAAATAATAAATACTGTAATTTACTCATGTCTTTCCAAACCTGTATTAAAAATGTCATTTACTTACCTTTGTGTCTTTCCAAACCTGTATGACTGACCTTCTTCTTGAAACACTAAAAGATGTTTTGAAGAATGTTTTTGTCCATGCTCTAAAAGTCAATGAGGTCCAAAATGACATTAGACACCTTTGAGTTTCATTTGTATGGATTAAGTGGAGACTGTATGAGCAGTCCTACAGGTTTGGATAACATTAGGGTGAGTAAATGGCAGATTTTTCCATTTTTGGCTGTGCTTCACTTTAACTTGAGTACTATATTTAATGGCTTTCTAAATCGCAGATGTTTATTAGAGCTGAATTAAACATGTGAATCTTTATTTATTTATTTGTCATATTACAGTATGGTAGATTTATTTATCTGGGCCAAGCCTAGATATATTACAGCTTCTCATAATAATGTTCTGCTGATGCGCTTTCTTTTAAAATGGAACTGACCTTAAAAAAGTTAAGCCCGACTAGCAGCTCTGCATACTTCAATAAAACGCATGTCTAATAATTCAGCACTTAAAACAGGCCGCAGGGTTAAATCGATTCAATTCTCTCTTTTCTGTTCCAGTGCTTCTCCTGTGCAACGTGCAGAAACCAGTTGGTCCCCGGTGACCGATTCCATTATGTGAACGGCACCCTATTTTGCGAGCACGACCGGCCAGGAGCCTCACTCCTTAATACTCACCTGCAGAGCAACCCGGTGCTACCGGACCAGAAAGTGAGTTTTACTCTTTAAGGTCATATTACAATGCGAGTTTGGTCTTTGTCTGTAGGCCATAACCAAAGTGTTGCCATAGAGGACAAACATGGAGTTTAACCAATCTTGTGTCTTGTAGGTTTGCTGAGGGACTCCCCGTCTTCTTCGCCCCTTCTTCTTCCTCTCTCTCTGCTTACCCTCCAGTGTCCTTCTCCTCACAGCTCTTCACTGACATCCTCCAGACACTCCTCCTTTAATGCACTTATGTTTTTACAGCCTAAATTCTTAGGCTTAAATGAAAAAGGTTCTTTGAGAGGGAGAACGGGTTTGGGCTGAGAGCGATGGAAACATTTCTTTATATCTGACTTCATATAAAACTGTGGTGGATTTCTTGCCCCCTGAAAACAGAAGTGACTTCTATTTTCTCACAGGATATCCTGCCTCTCTCACATCTAACCTCAGAGAGAGGGCTTCAGCTGAAAGCAATGTGTGCTTTTTTGAGTCAAGATGAAACTGTTCACAACCCGTTTTTGTCCATAATCTGACACATAGCCGTGTGAAAAACTGTAAAACTGGATTTTGCCCACAAAATTGCACCAAGCAGTAAATGTGACTCACTTTAACACCAGGAAAGTGCATCAATAAAGTAAACGGGGTCGGTTTTGATTTCATGTTGACTAACGTCAAAAACAGAATATCTTCGTACATCTTTTGGACATTGTTCAGGGTGTAGAATTGTAAATATGTTTTATACCAGTACTCTCTGTAACGGTTGAATTATCTGCTCAACATGTGTCTATTTAAGGTGTAATTATCCAATAAATGGGAAATCCTACAAAACCCAGCTGCCAAGAATGAATTTGTTGTCCTAGTTATTTTTATTTTTCTCCTAGTTATTAGCTTTGCTCTCAGCCTGATTACCCAAAGGGTTAGTATGAATAGGGCTTGAGCTCGGACCATTACAGAAGCAATTAAATGTGAGCGTGGAGTGTGTAAGTTCATTGTGAGTGCCGTATCTGTGCTGCTATTGCACTGGGGAGGCTGAACTCTGCTCTGATCCCGTGTTTGAATTTAATAAGGACTAATCTGCCGCCTAGTTAATTAAGAGGCAGTCGCTCCTTTCCGTTCGCTGCCTCAAAACAATCAAACACGTTAAATGTTTACCATGTCGCAATTAAAGTACACAGCACAACTTTTTCACCCCCTTTCCCTTCTCACAACCTCCTGCCCTTGAAGCCACCTCTAAACTATAGTGGGAAATTGCTCTTCTCGCTTTAGAGACAAGTAATTGACATTTATAAAAAAAACTGATGGCACATTTGTTATTTTAATGCAAAATGTATTTTAAAAAAAATTTTTTCAGTAGTAATTCTTCAGTTTTTTTTGCAATTACATAAGAAGTTGATAACCAATAAATTACTTGATACATTTTTGTAATTACCTTAGAGATTTAGAATTTCATCGTGCTTTTTGCTGTTGTGAGACATTAAAATTAATTTATGCAAATAACAAGAAATTAATGCATATATAGTGTGTGTGTATATATATATATATAGTGTATATATCTATAAACAAAATTTAATTAATAAACAAATATAAATTAATGCATGTATAAAAAAATTACCTACTCTGCATTAATTTCTTGTTTTATTTGCATTAACTCATTTTAATGTCTCAAGGCAGAAAAAGCACCATGAAATTCATAAGGACTTGGAAAGATGTGGTGATACGTTCTTTAAATTAGCTCCAAAATGCCATCTTAATGCGCTTAGTTATAAAAAAAATCATCCCTGATGTCGGTGTGGGTGCTGATCGTGCATCAATTATTTATTTCAGATTCGATTGAAAAGCATCAGGCAAATTCATTAACGTATGCAAATGATCACAATTGCAATTATCTTCATATCTTGATAAGTAAGGAAATCAAAACCTCGGCACAATTTGAATCCCACCGTGCCTCAACTTACATTCTGCATTCAAACCAATCAAGCTTCATCTGCATATTCCTAATTAACCAGGCATATTCGCATGCCAATTAGAGGGTCTGAGGGGGGGAAAAAAGCCTCTTAGTCAACAGGCATTATCCTTTATCAGAAAAAGTTTGCAGGTGTATGAATTGTTCTGCTGCTTCTGTCATGGAAAAGGTGTTTATACTCACTAATTAATCATATTAACACATGCAAATGAGTGTAATTGCCTGAGTTTCCTTGCCTCATGCTGTGAAAAAGTGGGAAAGAGAAGAGTGTGGATATTTTTACCAGCGAACAACTAAGAACATTTAGAAACGCTTTGTTTTCCTCTCACAATTTCTGTACCTAAATATCACACAGGGCCGCTGTCTGCCATTTCAAAACATTGCACAAGCACCGTGGCTCAACTTGTTGTCTTGTTTAGCCAAGCTGCGTCCCAATCCACAGGGTTCCTACACAATGTTGAATCCTATTCGGTGAGTATGGGGCATCTATTGAAGTTCACTTCAATTGCCAGAATGTATTTATTTGGAACACCCTGTAACATCGTCAAACACAGACAAAACTTGAGCCAGGTGTATTAGAGAAGTTCTGTTCTACGTATTCGAGTTCTGTGTGTTAGAGAAGTTCTACTTCTGTAAATTTGTAATATGCATTCTATTGCAATATACATGTGTGTAAATAATAGATCCATTTGTATTCATATGTTTATTATGTCATATTTGAAAGTGCTAAACTGAGTGTCTTTTGAGATGTTTAATATGAAAATAAATGTAATTTGATTATTTAAGATGCGTTTTTGCCGTTTAACCATAATCAAGTGTGTAACAGTCCATTTTTGCAATATAACAGTCACGTCTCTCTCACACGCTTTATACCAGCGAACAACCGTGTGCAAACCACACCTTTTATTAATTAAACTCATTAATAACACTAGAGCCTCAAGTCATTTTCTTCTCCTTTCTTTTATTTTGACATATTACTTGCATTAAATAGGCTGTAGAGTGGGGGAACTATGACTATGAAATATGTAGGCGGATCGGCTGTTAGCATGACACTGGATTATCGCAAAAAATAAACTCTTGTGTTCAACCATGGTTCATGAAACTTACACGTTGTGTCCATCAAGATAATCGTCACAAAATAATATAACTTTGATGAATTTTGAAGCCTATGTAAAAGCGCAGTTAAACTTAGGCTACAAACGAACTACAGCACCGCGGCCGCCCGCCTTCAACGTCACCACCACCACGCTTCCCACAACTTTTTCAAACTTATTTTTAATGTGTTCAGTGAAAAGGATTTACTCTGTAATCCACGCTACATTAACCTTTTCATATAAACTGGAATAAATACAAAACTAGAGCCAAACTAAAACTGAAATGAGACATTAATAATAAATAGTATAGTAAATAAGATGCATTAAAAGTCAATAAATCCTTGATTAATATGAATATTTTAATTAAAAACGTGTCTCCACATACTATTCAATAAAATTCTAGTGCATTTAATCTATTAAATAACAGCAGAGTGAGCGAGTTTTTGGATATGGTAAGATTAAACTTATTTTAGTGAATAAAGTACCACATTTCAGCTTTGTTAGGGTGGGTACACAAAATGTTATTCTATCCTTGCTTCTAGAAAATCCTCAATCTATATGCTTTTTAACAGCTTCATGTGGCCGTAAACATTTAAATTTAACGTGGCCTAAGCACTATATGCATCGTTAAAGTTTCACTTTCACCACGACTAAGCCAGTAAATGTGGTGTTTACATGGAATAATCATATGAGTTTATCTTATGGTACAGACCCAGAGTCTCAGCATATGTAGGAAAGCGATAAAATGAGCATCTTCCATCTGAAGACTTGTGTTGCATTTCGGGGCAAAACAAAAAAACATCATCGACCAACAATATATAATGCGGGAAACTATTAATTGGTTCTTGTACAATTAATTGTATTACAAATTATACTACGACTGGAAAATACTGTAAATTGATAAACTGTTCGGCGTGATCTCCGACAGCGCCTGTAATCCCATTTAGCAATTTGTTAGCAACCGTCTTTTTTAAGAAACGTAATTGTTTTTAAAAAATCCAGAGTGGGGTGTAACTGGTGTGCTTTATGTCGTAGAATAAAACGTGAAAGTATCTTGAGCCTGTGTGAACCACGGACCTTATTTTAGGGATTTAACCAAAATCCCATTCAAAAAAACCATTGACTCTGGGATGATGGAACCGGAAGTGCTAAAATGCTAACTCGCTTCTGGGTTTTTGCCTACAAATTGACATCATAGTTCCACCACTCTATTGGAGTGATGTGCAATGAGTGGTTTAATTTCCCTGTCCAATTCCTGTAGTGTTCCCTTGCTCCCTATGCCCTTTATAGTGCCCTTCGAACTGAACAAACTGTATTGAACATACGTTTAACAGTCGTGAAGTACGTTCTTTATCAGATGTAGTACTACAAAGTACAAATGTAGTACTTACTCTAGTACACAATTTCAGACTTAGAAAATGTCAGAACTTGTATGCTAACTACTTGCTCACAGCTTAAAAGAATCTTATAGCATGCGCTTTTTTATTTTTTACATTTTCTCTTTTAATCGATAATGACAGTATAAAGATGACGGGAAATGATGTGTAAACATGAAATGACAAACTCATATTCTCATTAGAGAATGAGTTCGCTAAACTCACACCACATAAGCCTCATAGCACAACGTTCTACCACAGCCTTGCCAAACCTCAGTACAGTCTCTTTGTTTTGGTCTTTCTGGCACTTTTATTGATTTTGATAGTATAGACAGGACAGGAAAGGATGCTGAAACAAAAAATGACATGAGCTGCACTCAAACTCACGTCATTAGCCTCATGGCATTGATGGAGCATGAATTCTATCCACTACGCCGCAGAGTAGAGGTCTGAACCCTGTTCTCGTCTCGATTTTTAGTCCCCCTCCTGCTAAAAATAAGCTATATTTCTTTCTGCCCCTAACTTGTTGGAACATGCATGCTAACTGCTAACCACTAGTATTTTTGTTTTTGGCATGCCTATTGATAGTCATAACCAAGGAACAGGAATCGAGGTGAGCTGAACTCAAAATGCACACCGCAGCTCGCTTGCTAAATGCTTGGCCACGGCTCTGACAGATATCAGAGCATTCAATAGACTAGTGGTATCGGTCTCCATCTTGCCGAGTCTCAATGTTTTGACAAAACAACACTCACATCAGGCTGTCTGCTTCATAAATGATTCTACATGTAATATCAACTCATTAGACTTTAATATCACAGGAGGGTGCGGTCGGTTGTGGCAAGCTCCCTCAGGTTTCCATCAGATCACTTTCTAGAACATGTCTCCTCAGTGTTAGCCAGTAATGAGCCACTTGTGCAGTGAATCAGTAGGGCCTCAGTGACAGAGAGACAGACTTGACAACTGTGAACTTCCCAGAGCAGAGAATGTCAGAGAAGGAGAGAGGCAGGGTGAAAAAAAGCAGGCTCCTCGCCCAATCAGAGCGCATTGAATAATTAAGGCAATCGGCTTAATTAGCTCAATTACTTTAATTTGACCATGGAACATGGCCATATGGTGAAAGGAAACAAAAGAGGGGGGAACTAATTAAAAGTAAAATAATGAGGATTTTAATTAAGCTTTTCCCCAGACGTCAATGAGAGGGGATCTGGTGCAGGAGAGAGTAATTAAAGTAGTGTAGCTCTGGCAACATTTCTCTCTCTCTTTCTCTCCCTCACTTTTTCAGTCACTCTCTCAGAACTGTGAGGGCTCAATCGGTCTAATTAAATCTGTAAATAAATTAGCTACATGGAAGCCTGCTTGAGTTGACACCCCACCCCCAACACAAACACTCACCCACACGC